GCACATAGGTGCTAGAGGGTAATAATGATTATTACCTAAGCACAAGGCTCAAAATTTTTCTCTATTTTATTTTGGTGTGTTGGTGTATAGTTTTTTTGCCACTTCTTCACTACGCTCTTTGTCTAGGCTACTAAATTTGGCACTATACTGTGCACATGGGCTCAAAGATCTCTATTGTGAGCACCTGGTTTGTTGCTTATTGCCAAGCATGGTGCACTAGCAAAATGCCCAACATTAAATTCCCTTCAAATAATATTGCTTTAGTAACAAATAACCATGAATAATTATTTGAACTAAATCATGTGTTTTCTTTTATTATTTCAAAAATCTCCCTTGCACGTACAAAGTTTGAAATTCAATTATTAGTGTTGCAAATAAAATCATATGCAAACATATGTAAAACTATCAATCTAAGTAGGGTTAAAAATATATAATTTTCATGGTATTTCAGTTCTCCCTTACTTGGATCTTTGCTTAATCTTACGAATGCCTAAATATATATTTATAATAATAGAATAGTCATCACAAATAGTCCACATCATAATGTCTCTACTCAGTGCCAAAGGTGCATAAGCCATAATGTTCCATCTATTTAAGTTCAGCTCACACTTAACTTCTATCCTTGTATAAGACTAAATTAGACTTTGCTATTATTTGAAACTTTATATTGACAAATATGTTAATAAATTATTAGATTTGATTTGGACAAGTTTCAAAATTTTAACTTTGTTATTTTTCTAGATTAATATTAATACTGTTATGGAGGAATTTTTATTATTCACATCAAATCCTTTTTTTTTTTCTTTTAGTGGGATCTCTCTCAATCTTTTCCTTTTTGTTGTTTTTTAAATGATAACTTCTATACTTATTTTTTCAAATAATGGTTTAGAGAAGACCCAACTCATAGTTTACTTTTTCTATTTCGGTTAATGGATAAACATTTTGATTTACTTGATGTCAAGTGAACATGATGATTTTAGGCTATGCTTACGTTATTTTTGTATGCATCTTATAACACTACATCTAAGTTGACAAAATTCAACAATTAGATAAATTGATAAATATTATATGTACACTCGTTACGTCACCACATTAAGAAAATAATTCTAATGAATAACATATACTTGACTAAAATTTCCATGGTTTCACAAATTCTAAAACTAAACATAAATTTCAACAATGAAAGCGCATGTTGTTGGGGCAATTATCATAAATTGCACTAGCCTTTCCACCCCCTCTTAACATAGTTAAACAATACACAAAATACCTTTGAACAATAACAAATAAGAAAACTATTCAAGATGACACATTATATAAAATAAGGATTGTAACACGTGTAATAGCTAATAAAAACATTTAACAAAGAGAAGGCAGTAGCAAGCAAATTGACTAAGTAAAATCAGTACATGCATATGTTATAGAAGTCCACAAAGAATTCTTAAAGAAACAGATGTACAATGTTATAGAAGTCCACGAAGAATTCTTAAAGAAACAGATGTACAATGTTCATATCTATTTCATTCCATATCTTTTATTGGTTGATGAGGATAGAGATAGATGATGCTAATTTATCTATCATGCAAAGTTCAATTTTGCATCAAAGCATATGTAATTCCATCTATAAAGGTAAAAAAAGGAAATTTTTAAGAAATAGATGAACAATGATCATACATATTTCATCCCATAACTTTTATTGGTTGATCAGGATAGGTATTGATGTTTCTAGCTTATCTATCTTGCAAACTACAACTTTGCATGAAAATATATGCAATTTAATTTGTAAAATTCTCACATAGACTAAAAAAAAATAGTTAAAGAAATATATGAACAATGATCATAAATATTTTACTCCATAACTTCGACTGGTTGATCAGGATAGGTATAAATGATGTTAATTGTGTATCATGCAAACTCTAACTTTGCATCAATGCATATGCAATCCCATTTATGAAACTATCTCATATACTAAAAAATGGATGCAATGCTCAACATCCCCCCCCCCCCCCCCCCCCCCCACATCCCTCTCATAAAATCCGGCCAAGTCCTCCTCATCCGCCTTCCTCTCCATCTCATGTTTCTCCGCAAGTCCACAAAGAATTCTTAAAGAATCACATGTACAATGTTCATATATTTTTTATTTCGTAGGTTCTACTGCTTGATCAGGATTAGTATACACGTTGCTAACTTATCTATCTTGCAAACTTCAACTTTGCATTAAAACATATGCAATACGAGAAGAAAAAACAAATAACTACTCAGAAATCTCCCCTCAAAATGTTCATCTACACATATGTATGGGAAAGAGCAAGCTAATCAACAGGTAGGCAACAAATCGACGACGCTGACAACCAAAGGAGGGGAGCATATCTGGGTTTCAACCCTAATAACATAGGTGACAAAGAAGGAGAGTAGCAATTGTTCTATGTTACGATAGGGAAGTGGGATTATCGGAAATCCGAATGGGCAACAACGTCTGTGGCACCTTGCAACAAAGCTCCAGCTGCAGAACTCCATATCCCTCTTCTATTTCACCGTTCGACAAAATGCGGGCCCCATCCGCAAAACACTTGATAAAAAAGTTTCCCAAACGCGACTTTTCTGATTCCGAAACGTAAAAGCCGCAAAAGTGGGGTCACAAACGGGGCCTTAGTAAATTTTTTTGGATTATCTGGTATATTATTAATTATTTACTTTATCTTATTTATATTTTGACATAAATAAACATATACTTGGCAACTTAAATATAACTTACTTTATTTTTATAAAATTTTGAATAAGTCAATTTATGTTAATATTTTAAAGGGGGTGGTCGCATCATAACTAGAGGTGTTGTGGATTAAACTAGAATATTTTTAGCTTCAACATTGTGTCGGCCAACTTCAAGCATGGGGCACCTGATTGTGAGAATGCAGGAGTTGAGTGGCCTGTAGTTCATATTTGAATATGATTAAGAAACTTAAAATTCAAATTGGATATTTATACAATAAAATTGATACATTTCAAAAAAAAAAAAAATCATATATAAAGAACTAAGAAGCTACTAAATTGATCCTAATAACCCTCTTTTTCTTCTTTCCCCTTTACCAGCAACTTTAAGAACAATTCTATGACATGTGACTTTTGTTAAATCACCATGCCTACAAAGCTTGTCAAAATGGATCAACACAAACATGAGTGAAAGTGGAGGAGAAAAGCTGCCCAAATAATTCCTCAATACTCATATATATATATAT